AGGGAGATAGGAGAAAAAATACTTTCCCCATAGGACTAGCCTGAATCTCTATGACCTTGGATCTAAGCAAAAGGAGACAGTGTGTTGGAGCGATACAGCTGATTGGTTTTGAACACCTGACAAGAACATAACACAAAAGCTTGCATTCGGTGTCCAGGCTGTAGTCATCTTAGGGGCTAGCAGTTTGGAAAGGAAAATCTTGACCAGAGTCCTCAGCAATTGCACCAACGGGCATACTCATTAGGAATTCCTCCACAAGAGTACCTAATAAGCCCTGAATAACATGCTAGCAGCTCTGTCCTACCTACAGATCAAGTGATTCCTGAAGTATACTGCCTCAGGCACGCTGATTCCTGCTGCTCTTTTCACCACAACTTAAGTGGTAATAAGTCTCAAGTAGCCCTGGGGAGTGGCAAAACATTTCCCAAAGACTCAGGCTTCTGTATGTCCCATTTGGGATTTTAGAGTTCAATTCAAAGATCCTGAAATACCTTGACAACTGACCCCTCCAAGCAAAATTCAAGCAACAAAAGAGAGAGCAACCTCATAACTAAACCCAGCGCCTTCCACCTCAACCAAGTAGTAGATGGTGGAGTCACACGCTCAAAAGTGACCCAACTCCTGGAAAGCTAAGCAAGGAAAAGAAACCCACTAATCTCTGTAAGCAGAAGGAGCAGATAACAGGCCAGTGATAACCCAACAGGCCAAAACCCCACCAAGACAACACAAAACCAGTGAACACCTCTTCAGCTCTGCAAAGAACCTTCCCTTTGGAGCCCTAAAATTAAGTTCACAAACCAGTCACAGCACATCCAGTCCTTGACAAAGTAGCCCGATGAGAAAGAATCAACGAAAGAACACAGGAACCATGAAAGATCAGAAAGAAAAGCCACCTCCAAAAGAAAACATTTGATCTCCACCAACAGATACCAATGTACAGGATACAATTAAGCTGACAGAGGAAGAATTCCGATTACGGATTGTAAGGAAACTGAACGGAATACAAGAGAAAATAGAATCCCAACATAAAGAAACCATGAGAACAATCCAGAAAATGAATGAAAAATTTTCCAAAGAAATTGAAACAGTAAGGAAAAACCAAACAGAAATTTTGTCAATGAAGGAGGAATTCAGGGAACTTCAAAATACAATGGAAAGCCTCAAGAACAGAATGGACCGTGCAGAGGAAAGAATCTCAGAGCTTGAAGACAATGTCTTTGCGCTGAACAAATCAGACGAAGAAAAAGAACTCAGAAGCAAGAGACAAGACCAAAGCCTTCAAGATGTGTGGGATTATGTAAAGAAACAGAACCTTAGGATCATCAGTCTTCCAGAGAGAGATGAAGAAGATACTCAAGGGCTGGAAAACTTATTTCATGGAATACTGGAGGAAATTATGCCAGGCCTGGCCAGAAATCTGGACATCCAGATTCAAGAAGCACATAGAACTCCCGGGAG